TATTATTATTATTATTATTATTATTATTATTATTATTATTATTATTATTATTATTATTATTATTTCATTCATGCTGCTCCGCGTGCCATATTGTGCGGTGTGAATTTTGTGTTTTTGCACTTTGCGCGTAACTTTATCACATTACAGCCGGCTATTCGAGGCGACAGCGATTCGTACAAGCTTAGCTGGATAAAATGCAGTGAACTAGCCCTCTCTGCATAGTTGGAGCTACCAGATTTTGTACTTAGTCCTGCTTAGTCCAGTGCTATTCTCACAAGAAGAGCCTGTGCAGAAATTTCGTAGAAAAACCAAATATGAGTCTGCAAATTTGAATTCGCACTCAAGTTTCTTTTGCCCAAGCTTATACCTCCACACAACTAGACTAAGGATAGCTTTGCAACCTCAGGGATTTAAAAGATTTATAATTTAACAGTTCGAGCATGAAATTATATCACAATTCGTATATGCTAAAGCGTAAATTGTTCCCCTGTAACAAGCAACAGGAAAAATGTATGATCACACAGCTCCTCACAAATGTCGGCACTTGCTATTTGCAAATTAATGAAACTGTTAAAATTTTCGTTTATTTTCATTACATTTTTTCAGTGAAAACAAAAATAATTTTTTTGCTGGGTTTCTTTCCAAAATGTGCCGGAGAAGCCTTTCAAAAAATGACCAAAAATACGGACAGCAGCTGACTGGTAAAGAACTGTCGAAGTGCAAAGGCTAACTTTGGGACAACTGAATGCCGTGTGTGAGCTTGCAAAGCAATTTTAGACATATTTTAAGTGTTTCAGAAATCTTAAAGATGCAAACAGTGAATATCTCTGGCTAGGGAATCGGAAGAAGACGAGGGCCTGAAGTCTTCTATGTTTTAACACACGCAGTTTGTTTGGCTTTGCTGGCCCACCGTGGAGAGAAACACAATCGAATTTTGACAGTTATGGAAAAACTAGAAGTGCCATTTAGATCTCCCAGATAAGCAAGCCTGCATGTACACTGAGCTGGTATCCTTTCTGTATTTCATTCCTGAGCTGTAAACACAGAGGGCAGAATCGTTGTGGAGTGGGGTGGGAATCATGAAATTCACTAAACTTACTGTTTGGATCTCTGGCCGCAAAACACTTCTTATCGTTTTCCTGGTGGTAAACTCATCGAATTGTGGTACCAAATTTCAAAGCGCAGCTGCTCTTCAAAGTTGGGAGAGGAAGTGAAGAAAAGTAGGCAGAGAAGATTTCTGGTCGTAAATGATTTTACACGTCCATGCGCATTTTTTTTTTTTTTGTTTTCACTGAGTCTCGAACAAAAGTACCTTTCTCAGAATCGGCCTTTCTGTGAGCTCATTTAACTCATTTCATACTTGCTTATCCGCTGTTTGTCTGCCTGTCTGCCCAGCTAGAAAGATTTATAAGCAGCCAGAAACATAGGCTGTTCTTCCTCGGTTACTAGGATATTACACAGACAGCATTCAGTGGCATGCAAAATGAACTCATCGGCACCTATTTTTTACCTTCTCACATTCTTACTCAGGAACAGTCAGTTATCCTAGCTTCTAGAGAATATTGAATCTTTGCCATTTTCGATTTGAGCTAATGAAAACAAGTATCTCCGGGCTGTGCTTGTATTTTTTTTTTCAACCCGGTCCTTAAGAGCTGCCTTTCTTGTGCAGAGCTACTGTCTTTTGCCGCTTCAGAAAAATGTTTTGCACTACCCCACAACATGTCTGTACAATTATCAGTTATTACGATTGATTATTACGATTATCCAAGATCGCCCAGTTCGCCGTGAAAATGTGATGTTACTGGCACTGGTGCAACTATGCATGAGTGAGATAAGCATGGAACTGGATCGCTCACCTTTACTAAGACTAATAATGGCAACTTGATCAGAATTATGTTCATCTTTCTACAAGCTGACGAATAATCATACGGCACCTAAACTTGTCTTTTCACTGCATTCTGTGCGTATTTTTTAAGCAATAGTCGAGCAACAGAAATTTGGGGTTACAAAAAAAGAACGCTTATTTTAGGTTATGTGCAGTGTTTTTGTGGCTATAATTGTACAAA